GTCATTAAAAAGCCCTCAAGAGGATGATAAAAAAAAACACTTTTAGACATCACTGATGTGACACAAGGTTGCATCAAAGAGAAAGCAAAGTACAAAGGAGTTTGCTGACTCTACTACTCACTTCTCACTACCTTCACCCTCTCTGTTTCTCTCCTCCTTCCTCTCATTTCATTTTACTTTCATTTTTTGAAAATGTAAAGGTGTCTGTGAAGCATACATGAGCCCTCTTCCCTCACAATACTTGTGATGTGAATGAGGCATAGGTGTGTGTGCTGAATGCGATTGATTGCATTGACATTCTCCAAATGGAAGGAGTTAATTACTGTGTGCGGGATGGGGAAGATGATGAAGGAGAACTCAATTACGTTTCAAACTAAAGGATAGTGATTTCTGGAAGGGTACAGCCTGTGAAAGGTTTCTTTGTAGCTATGTGTTTGTGTAACATCAAATTATTTACCCTGGTCTCCTCCTTGTCATCCTCCACTGATCCAGTGATTTGAGGTCAGCTGTAGTTGAATGATAAAGCCTGTGTTTGCAATACCAAATAAACAACTGCAGAACTAGCCTCTGATGTTGAGCAGGAGACCATGGGAACCCTGTCAATATGAAAGTTATTACATATCAAATAAAGAATAAATATTGATTCACAAATAAAAGCTGCAATTTTTATAAAATTATTTGTTATCATCTTTACTGAAACTTTAACTAAGTAGTACATGAGCCAGATCATCAGTGAAAAAAATATGGTTCTTCTGGCCCTTCATAGTGCTCCTAATGGAATATATATGTGTATCCTGTTCAAATGGCCAGCAGCTGCTTTAGTACCTCAGTTCCACATAAAAGAAAACCATTAGACCTTAAAACTGTATTTCTGTATATCATGAAAATTATTTAAGGTGAAACCTGACTGTGCCACACTTCACATATGATATATTTTTCATCATGTACACAGCATCCTTATTAATGAGGTCCCACTAATCAGATTTATCTTTTTCATTCCATTCCCACCTCCCTCCCTTTTTCTCAGCCTGCTCAGACAACTACAAATTATTTTGCCACATATTTGGCAAAATAGTCCACAAATGCTATAAAATGACATATGCAATTGTATAAACCATTAAAATTTCTATAGGGTATCAAATAATTTTCTAAACATTTGAAAGTAGTTGTTTACAAACACAAATACATTTTTCATACTGATATGACTGTGAGTTTAGAGCTACTTTCAGTAACGTGTTAGTCAAACAACACGCTGCACCAAATGAATTGTTCATTACAAGTTAAAAGTACATGCACCAGGACTGTCTCCATTTAGTTGAAATTTGCACATGAAGTTCATAATAAAAGGAGAGTTGTATTGAACTGGTGCTCTGCCTCTTTCTTCTCAATACTCAGGATGAGCCATCTGCATGTTCCCTTTGATTTAGGCTTTCCCCAGATCTGCTATCAAATGAGCTGAGAGTTCAATCAATAAGTTTGAATAAAATCCAGGCTGATTAGATCCAGTTTCATACAAGAACGCAATCAGGGTCTTTAAGCAGCCTTGCCACTACTCCTGCCATTAGCTTTATCCTTTAAAAGTTGAGGCTCGATTTGGCTTTTGCCTCTGAGTAATCACCCATGTGTGGAAATAATTTGCAGAGTATTCACAATTAATTTTGTGAAGTATAGAGTTTACAGTGTCTTCTCAAAGGTAAAAGATCTTGTGTCAGATGCTTCACAGCACAATCATTTTACTAATTTCAACATGTAATTAGAAATTGCAGTTCACTAATAGCTGCTCTCTTAATATATCCCATGAATTTCAGAAGCTGTCAAATGGAACAGATGTACTTTTACTTATTTATTTTGCAGGTTTAACTGCATTGAAAATAAATGCAAGGATTTAGTTTTAGATAAACATCTGCCATAGCTGAAAAACAACATTTCAGATCCTCTTGAGAAATCCGAAAGTGTGATTCTAATCGTTAAACGCTTGTCCCTCTGAAATTGATAATCTTGTCGATAGTGCTGCAGGCTCACTACGATCAACATTAGACTCTATCGCTCCTTTAAAAAGGAAATTATTAAAACATAGGAGACTAGCACCGTGGTACAACCACCAAACCCACCAGTTAAAGCAAACAGCTAGGAAATCTGAAAGGAAATGGCACTCTTCCAAATTATCAGAATATCGCTCAATTTGGCAAGATAATCTTAAAACTTATAGAAAGGCCCTCCGTAATGCCAGAGGAGCCTATTACTCAGCACTGTAGCCAGGCTGACAGAGAGTCACAACTCTATTGAGCCACATATTCCCATAACTTTAAGTAGCAATGACTTCATGAGCTTCTTTTATAATAAAATTATTACTATTAGAGAGAAAATTAATCACCAACTGCCATCAACAGTTATCAGTGGCTCTCCAAGTTCAGGGACTTTTACTAATGTAAACTTAGATATATATTTAGACTGTTTTTCTGCTATTCATCTTCATCAGTTAACTTCAATAATTTCTTCATCGAAGCCATCAACCTGTCTATTAGATCCGATCCCAACTAGGCTGCTTAAAGAAGTTGTTCCCTTAATTGGCACTTCTTTACTGGATATGATTAATCTTTCTTTATTATCAGGATATGTACCACAGTCCTTTAAAGTAGCTGTAATTAAACCCCTTCTTAAAAAGCCCACTCTTGACCCAGGGGTTGTAACCAACTATAAACCAATCTCTAACCTCCCCTTCCTCTCTAAGATTCTGGAGAAAGTAGTCGCCAAAGAGTTGTGTGACCTTCTACATAACAATAGTTTATTGGAGGATTTTCAGTCAGGATTTCTGACAATGGACTAGTCTCTGTACTTGTATTATTAGATCTTAGTGCTGCATTTGACACCATTGACTATAATATTCTTTTACAGAGACTTGAGCATCAAATTGGCATTAAAGCAACCGCACTAAGCTGGTTTAAGTCATATTTATCAGATTGTTCGCAGTTTGTGCACGTTAACGACAGTTAGTCATGGAGTTCCACAAGGTTCTGTACTTGGACCAATACTGTTTACTTTATATATGCTCCCTTTAGGCAACATTATTAGGAATCACTCCATTAACTATCACTGTTATGCAGATGATACGCAGTTATATCTATCGATCAAGCCCAATGAAATTAATCAACTATCTAAACTACAAACATGTCTTAAGGACATAGAATCCTGGATGAGCTGCAATTTTCTGATGTTAAACTTAACTTAAAAAAACAAAATTCTTGTACTTGGCCCCAAAAATCTTAGAGACTCACTGTCTAAAGATATAGTTACTCTAGATGGCATTACCTTGGCCTCTAGCACCACTGTCAGGAATCTTGGAGTTATCTTTGATTAGGATTTGTCATTTAACTCCCACATAAAGCAGACCTCCAGGACTGCCTTCTTTTCATTTACGTAATATTACAAAAATTAGACACATCCTATCACAGACAGATGCAGAAAAACTAATCCATGCATTTGTTACTTCTAGGCTGGATTACTGCAGTCCATTAAAACGCTCCAATTAATTCAGAACGCTGCAACACGAGTACTGACAAAAGAGATCACATCTCTCCTGTACTAGCTTCTCTGCACTGGCTCCCTGTAAAATGTAAAATAGAATTTAAAATCCTCCTCCTCACCTATAAAGCTCTTCATGGTCAGACCCCTTCATATCTTAAAGAGCTCATAGTACCCTATTACCCCACTAGAACGCTACGTTCTCTGAATTCTGGGCTACTTGTGGTTCCTATAGTCTCTAAAAGTAGAACAGGAGCCAGAGCCTTCAGTTCCCAAGCTCCTCTCCTATGGAATCAGCTTCCAGTTGTGACTGGGAGGCAGACACCCTCTCCACATTCAAGAGTAGGCTTAAGACATTCCTCTTTGATAAAGCTTATAGTTAGGGCTGGATCAGGTGAGTCCTGAACCATCCCTTAGTTATGCTGCTATAGGCCTAGACTATCGGAGGATTTCCCATGGTGCACTGAGCTCCTCTCTTCCTCTCTCTTTCTGCACTCATTCATGTCCCATTAATGCATGTTACTAACTTCACTTCTTCCCCGGAGTTCTTGTGCTTTCTCGTCTCGCAGGTTCTTATCGATCCTGGTGGAGCCTCCTGCCATGGTCCTGCTAGATTGCCATTGCCAATACTGTTGTTGCTGTGCACCTGTCTGTCTGTCGGTGTCTCTGTCTCTCTCTGTCTCTCTGTCTCTCTCTCACCCCAACTGGTCGAGACAGACGACCACCCACCTAGAGCCGAAGGATCTGTCCTAGGTTTCTGCCTTTTAACAGGCAGTTTTTCCTTACCTGTACTGTTGGGTCTCTGTAAATAATGTTATAAAGAGTTCGGTCTAGACCTGCTCTATTTGAAAAGTGTCCTGAGATAACCTCTGTTATGAATTGGTGCTATACAAATAAATTGAATTGAATTGAATTGAATTGAATTGAATTGAATAATTAATGAAGTCTGGAAATCCTGGAAATACTAGTTTTCGAGTTATAGAAACAACTTGTAATTGATTAAAATGACCAAATATCCTGGAAATAATCAATGTTGTGGTGTTAATTGTATTTAAGCCCCTCACTCAGATTATGTAAACCTGGGTGCGTATTTTGTTTGAAACTCGACTGCTGATAGGACAACCTGCACGCTATGACACTTAAAATGAGGTTTACCAGATGCATTTATGCACTCTAAGGCAATGGGAAAATTGGCTGTGGTGAGAACAACCAAGAGTGCCGCAGAAGCACGCTAATGCAGTGTCCCATAAATGCAGACCACCATTGTGAGAGAGTGAGCCAGTGCTGTTCTGTATTGTCAAAACAACTACTGGAAAATGTCCTGGAGAATGATTTCTTAAAAAGCCTTGTGCACCCCGAGCATGCGCTTGTTGGCATATCAATGTCTTGGTTTTAGTTTTACCGCATTTATGCTGTATTTCATTTGAACAAAAATCCTTAAATATATCTGGATCTAACATCTGACTGTCCATCCACAGTTCCTCCTGATGATCCAGTGATAGTGGGGGCTCCGGTGGTGAGTTTACGAGCTGCTGACCACCTCAACCTGACATGTCATGCAGACAACGCCAAACCTGCTGCAGCCATCATCTGGATCCGCAACGGTCTAGTCCTAAGTGGAGCCATGTACTCGAAGGTATGTCATAAGACCAGCCTTCTGCTGAGGTTTTATGGCTTTGTGGTACCACCAGTATCAGTAGGTGTCCTGTGAAGATAGGCTGGCAGATCAGTTTTTTATCAGTTTTAATTTCAAATGTTTATGTTGGCTTAACCTAAATTGAATGATCTCTTGATCTATGAAATACACAGTGCTTTTGGTTTAAATGTTAGAATTTATATCCAACACAAAGCAATCTATTCAATATGTGTATAAACTGGAATGGCATTCTGTTGCATTAAGGACAGACGGAGAGTCACAGAATGATAAACGGGTGTTGTAATAGAGGAGAAGTTTTAGAGCTAGTTTACCAGTGATGACTTTTCAGAAACATGGGTACTTTTGCCCATGAAAAAGCATGAGGTTAAAGACCTTGCTAATTTCAGACCAGTGGCAGAGTTTAAAAAAAGCTTCCTCTTCCTTGCTTGAAAGAAATCAGAGATCTGCAGTTTATATAACTGGTGGAATATTCACTCAGCATACTGGCTACATACTGATACATTTTCAGGCGAGGAATTAAATACTTTTTTTACATACAAATTTGTTGGGGCCTTGTGGGCAAAATGTAGGACACCAAAACTACATAACAAATATATATGGTATAGATAAAAGTTGGCTCAAAATGCATCCAACAATCCAACAACATCATATAGAATAGGCAGGCTTGTAGGTGACCTGAGTGTGTGATGCATTAGCCAGTAGGCTGCTAGCAGTCATTTTGTTTTGTTTTTATCGTTGCATAAAGAAACTCAAAGAAAACATTTGATGAACACTTGTTTGACTTGGCTTCCAGCTCCGGAAAGTATTTGGGGGAAGTCCAGTTTTATGCTGTTTTAATTGTCCTTCTCCTGACTTCTCGCTAGCTAACGTTGGTTTTTCACAGTCTGCTGTGAAGAGTACAAAAAGACACAAAAGTAGCGTTACATAAACAACAACTTTGTATTTCTTTTCTGTGACAGCACAAACAACATACAGTAACTATTATCTTGCAACTTGAGCTCATCTACACACTTTATGGCAGACTAAAGTATTGATATTAGCCCTCTGTTAACGTTATACCAAAGATGCAACAACATTAACTTTCTGAATGTCTCTGGTTACAAATATATTTGTGGGAAAAATCTTGCCATGGTATAATTCCTGCCCTGCATTTTGCTTTAATCAACTAGGATATTAATATTCATTAATAATTTGTCTCAAAGATCGTTTTACATTTAACACAATCACCCTAAAATTGATTGATAAACTGATGATTCAATCTATTTGTGCAGTGTTCTGGGAAATGGTACATGAACTGCCCTTATATGAAGCCTTTTTAGCCTTCCAACTACTCAAAGCAATTTACACACATTCATACAATGATTGCAAACGTTAACATTCCAGGTGCCTGCTCAGGAACTAGCTAACAATGGTACCTGGTACCTTTTTGGTATCACTTTGGTCAAGATTCCAAGCAAACGAATACTAAAAGGAGTTAAAACACTGCTGACCACATAGGACATCCTGCATCCTCTTGTGTTTGTATCACACTGAAGATGATCTCACAACAGTTTCATACAGCTTCTCTACGCCAATCATCTAAGAATATTGCCTACATTGAGGGGGTACTATCTGCAGTGGCAAACCAAAATGAGAAAAGTACCTGGTACTAAAAGGGAGTAAATTCAAGTGAAGCAGTCTGAACCATGCAATGAAAATGAGGTTTAGCAATCCAGGTCTGCAAGAAACCCTCTATGACAGGATTCAGTGACTACAGGCTAATCCATCTTAAGGACATCACAGACCCCCGACTAGACTTTCTGCATATGAGATGAGGTGGAGCGGCTGTCAACATGGTGCAGGGACAACGACCTGCTCCTCAACACCTCAAAGACCAAAGAACTCATGATAGACTACAGGAGAAATAAAACCGAGATCCCACCATTAATCATCAGCGGGGACTGTGTGGAGAGGGTGGCAGACTTCCACTTCCTGGGAGTCCATATCCAGGAGGATCTTTTCTGGAGTGTGAACACCTCTGAGCTGTTGAAAAAGGCCCAGCAGAGACTGTACTTCCTGAGAATACTCAGGGGGAATAACATCACACAAAATACTGCATTCAGGCAGGCGGTACCGATCATTTAAAGCAAGGACAAATAGACTCAAACACAGTTTTTATCCAACTGCAGTAACTACCCTCAATGCTGCAAAAAAATAATATGCAATGACTGGGTGTGTATGACTATGTGTGTCTATGTATGCTGCTAATTATGGTATATGTTTTTATTTTATTAACACTAGCACTTAAATTAATTATTCATTATTTTTTTAATTTATGCTAAATTAAGCACTGACCGGAGAGCACTTTAAATTTCGTTGTACCTGTGACAATGACAATAAAGATCTATTCAAATATTCAATGTTTTCTTTAGCTCAGTTTCCATCTTGACATAACACTGGTCCAGGTAGCTTGTAAAGGTTTTCCTGTCTGATGACGGGCGTCCACTCCGCATTATGTTTATTTTGCTCAGTATGTTTCGGAAAGACGTCGATTCCACCGTGGAAACAGGCAACATTTACTCCACAATATATGCGGCTACAAGCCTATCTATCTGTCTGATCTATAGTGATTTAAACTATATGTATTGAGTATATAATGTGATTACTGACGTTATCAACAGTAATGCGTTACATTACTGCGTTACAGATAAATGTTACTTACACTGGTTATTATTTTACTAATGTTTCACACAGTTTTTCACTGTTAACTCTCCCCTGGGCCGGTTCTCCTCTTTAAATCCAGCAGTAATACATTTTACTGGAAAGGCAAAATGCCCAGGATCAAATTAACCACACTTCAAATACCCAAACAATATGGCGTACTCGAAATTTTGACCACTACTTCTTCTCTCACCAGCTTCAGTATATTGGAACTGGACAAATAATCTCTTCTCAATTCTGCATGGCTCAATATTGAACAGACCATCTGTAAGGATCTCCCCATTCAGCATATTGCATTTATAGACAAATCAATCAATCTCATAGATGCTTCAAATTTAACACTTTAAATACCACTCTCACTGCCTGGTGGAAAGCAAATGAAATACTTAACCTCTAACTATCACCTCTACTCTTACTCTTTTCTGGCATAACCCCATCATCCACCCCAAGATCAATAACAAACCCATCAACTTCCCTGTATGGAAACGGAGAGGAGTAACCATTAACTAAGTTAATTTCAAACCAAAAATTACTCTCACAGATTTGCAAACTTTTCTCTAACCATGACACTACAATTTCATAACCAATAGACAAATGGACATTTGTCCATTTGGATGAAGTCTTTTGAGCGTCTTGTGCTTTCTCACCTGAAAGCCATAACGGACCCACTCCTGGACCCCCTGCAGTTCGCCTACAGAGCCAACAGGTCTGTAGATGATGCAGTTAACATGGCCCTGCACTTCACCCTCCAGCATCTGGACTCACCAGGAACGTATGCCAGGATCCTGTTTGTGGACTTCAGCTCTGCGTTTAACACCATCATCCCAACTCTGCAGGGACAAGCTCTCTCAGCTCACTGTGCCTGACTCCACCTGCAGGTGGATCACAGACTTCCTGTCTGAAAGGAAACAGCATGTGAAGCTGGGGAAAAATGTCTCCCAGACCATCAGCTCCGGTTCCCCCCAAGGCTGCGTTCTATCTCCTCTACTCTTCTCCCTGTACACCAACAGCTGCACCTCCAGTCACCAGTCCATCAGACTACTGAAGTTTGCGGATGACTGAACATCAGCTCCCTCACCAAGAAAGCCCAGCAGAGGATGCACTTCCGGTGGCAGCTGGGGAAGTTCAACCTGCCAAAGACTATGATGGTGCACTTCTACACTGCCATCATCGAGTCCATCCTCACCTCATCCATCACCATCTGGTACGCTGCTGCCACTGCCAAGGACTAGGGCAGACTGCAGCGCATCATTCGTTCCGCTGAGAAGGTGATCGGCTGCAACCTGCCATCCCTCCAGGACCTGTACGTCTCTAGGACCCTGAGGCGTGCAGGCAAGATTGTGGCTGACCCCTCCCACCCCGGCCACAAACTCTTTGAACCTCTCCCCTCTGGCAGGAGGCTACGGTCCATCAGGACCAAAACCTCTCGCCACAAAAACAGTTTCTTCCCGTCTGCAGTTGGCCTCATTAACAAGGCCCGGACCCCCCACTGTCACTGACTTTCATACCCACCCTGCATATATGCATTACATTAATGCAGTCCCATCTTCTGTACAGTTTTCCTATCTTTTCTTATCATTCTTATCTTTATCTATATAATTTTTTAAACAAGTACTTTATTCTTGTGTGATTTATATATTTATCTTTTTATTTTTTTGTGTGATTGTGTACTTTAAGCACCAAAAAGAAAATCTCAATTCAACCCTAAAAGACATTCTGATCCCATTTCATAACACCCTGTGTCCTTTCTTGCAGTTCTAGTTGTATCAGTTTAGCTCTTGTAAATGACACAAAACATTTTCAAAAGTAATGCAATTGTGAGTCTTGAACACTAACCCTTTCAATTCAGTTCAATTCAACTTTATTTGTAGAGCGCCAATTCATAACAGAAGTTATCTCACTTGGCGACAAGGGCAAGGAAAAACTGCCTGTTAAAAGACAGAAACCTAGGACAGATCCTTCGGCTCTAGGTGGGTGGTCGTCTGCCTCAACCAGTTGGGGTGAGAGAGAGAGAGAGAGAGAGACAGAGACACCGACAGACAGACAGGTGCACAGCAACAACAGTATTGGCAATGGCAATCTAGCAGGACCATGGCAGGAGGCTCCACCAGGATCGATAAGAACCTGCGAGACGAGAAAGCACAAGAACTCCGGAGAAGAAGTAAAGTTAGTAACATGCATTAATGGGACATGAATGAGTGCAGAAAGAGAGAGAGAGAAAGAGAGGAGCTCAGTGCCCCATGGTAAATCTCCTGATAGTCTAGGCCTATAGCAGCATAACTAAGGGATGGTTCAGGACTCACCTGATCCCGCCCTAACTATAAGCTTTATCAAAGAGGAATGTCTTAAGCCTACTCTTGAATGTGGAGAGGGTGTCTGCCTCCCAGTCACAACTGGAAGCTGATTCCATAGGAGAGGAGCTTGGGAACTGAAGGCTCTGGCTCCTGTTCTACTTTTAGAGACTATAGGAACCACAAGTAGCCCAGAATTCAGAGAACGTAGTGTTCTAGAGGGGTAATAGTTTACTATGAGCTCTTTAAGATATGAAGGGGTCTGACCATGAAGAGCTTTATAGGTGAGGAGGAGGATTTTAAATTCTATTTTACATTTTACAGGGAGCCAGTGCAGAGAAGCTAGTACAGGAGAGATGTGATCTCTTTTGTCAGTACTCGTGCTGCAGCGTTCTGAATTAATTGGAGCGTTTTAATGGACTTATTGGGGCAAACGGATAATAAAGAGTTGCAGTAATCCAGCCTTGAAGTAACAAATGCATGGATTAGTTTTTCTGCATCTGTCTGTGATAGGATGTGTCTAATTTTTCTAATATTACGTAAATGAAAGAAGGCAGTCCTAGAGGTCTGCTTCATGTGGGAGTTAAAAGACAAAGATAACTCCAAGATTCCTGACAGTGGTGCTAGAGGCCAAGGTAATGCCATCTAGAGTAACTATATCTTTAGACAGTGAGTCTCTAAGGTTTTTGGGGCCAAGAACAAGAATTTCGTTTTTTTCTGAGTTTAACATCAGAAAATTGCAGCTCATCCAGGATTTTATGTCCTTAAGACATGTTTGTAATTTAGATAATTGATTAATTTCATCGGGCTTGATCGATAGATATAACTGCATATCATCTGCATAACAGTGAAAGTTAATGGAGTGATTCCTAATAATGTTGTTGCCTAAAGGGAGCATATTTGTGGTTAATAAATATTTTTTTTAGACATAGCTAAATAAAAGATACTTTGAAGTACAAAAAACTAAGTTAAATTAGATTTGAAGTTAAAATTGTTGACCAGTCAGTTCTATGTTGCATTAAACTATTTAGACATAAAACAGCCTGTGGGTTTGTGTGGTTTCTTCCTGGCTCTTGTGACAACCTTTTACCACTGCCTTGCTTTGAAGTGGATTTAATGACTAAATGGAGTCTCCACTTTGTATATTTTTGATTATAATATGCACAGCCTGCTCAGTAGCCTTGAGAGGATTCAGTAAATGAGAACCTGTAAGTGAAGTAAATGTGTTCAAAATACATATTTGCCAATGAGCTGGAAAGCAAAGACTCACTTCACTATAAAGCTGTTCTTAGGCCAGCAATGAAGAACTGTGTTTTCAGTGGGCAGCTCTCAGGTATGAATGTTTGGTCACCTTTGCAAACTACTCAGGTTTCTGCTGAAAATGAATAATTTATCCAAATATTTAAAACTGGCCCCAACATCCACTCTGGGAAAACTGTTACCCAGACTGGTCCCTAAATAAATAAATAAATAAAGTAAAATTTCTTTAAGTCCCATGAACCCAGGGTTGAGCAGACCATTGCCATTGTAAGTGTTTATTTCCATCTCCTTTGTCCTTGATTCCTCAGACCTTGCTGCGGGATGGTAAGAGGGAGAGCACAGTCAGCACACTCTACCTATCTCCTTCCGACATTGAGTCAGGTCAGCAGATCACCTGTCGAGCTTCAAACAAAGCAGTCCCCAACGGAAAAGATGCCACTGTAACAATCGACATACAGCGTAAGTAAAAAGATCAAATATATTCTCATATTGTGCCTTACACATTTTATGACAAAAGGATATTGTGACTGCCCTCATTTGTGATGTTTTAAAATAGGAAAGTGTCAGTTTACATTAAAATCTGTCACTTTACAGTAAAATCTGCAGGGAAATGGGGGAAAGCACGGCAACACAATGGCATAGATAATTATTTAGATTACAGATGTTTAATTCTTAGCCAATGACATGGTGTACAATTTAATAAAAACGATGTGTGTTTGCTCTACCCCTTCATAGTGTCGTCCAAACATGTGTATAATTAAGTTGTCACATGATATTATATGATATTTGATCACAGAAACGATTTGGAATAGGAGGCTTTTGCAATTCTCACTGCTCCTTCAAAGCATGACTAATAAAGTAGAAAATGTTATTTAGAGGTTCATTTCTCTTAACAGATCTATTCTTCCTCCCCATGCATTCTTTTTCCGCTTTAATTTTGTCATCCAAAAGAGTTGATAAAGCTTGGAGAGACTGAAATGCGTGAGCTAACTGATTAATGGTTCTTGTGCTTATTGTAAGAAAGGCCCTTAATCGTTTTGTTCCATTGAAAGACAGGAGTTGAAAATCAAATGTTTGATACTAGTGGTCCAGTGTTTGATACAAGTGGTGCATTTGGGCGGTCCTGAATTAGAGCTGTAGTTCTGGTAATAGAGCTCTCTGGCATCAACTGAAGGTGCTCCACATCTCCAGAGTCACTGAAATGTGCCTATGTTCAAGAAACAATCCAATCTAATTTAGTCAGCCTCTACAGTAAAGTGAGGGGTATTTGGAGTAATCAAGGATCAATGATTATTATTATTCAACACAAGGTTGTACAACAAAATGAAAGTTTGAAGTTCCTTCATGGAATAAAATAAATTCATGATATCAAATAAAATAATATATACATCCACCTCCTCTCATCCTGCACTCTGTCAGCTTGGAACACGGCTCGACTGTCGAGTGATTTATCAGAGATGTTGATGGAGCAGACCTCTACACAGTCTGATTTCCCATTTCATCTAGTCCGGCCAGGCGCACCCAAGTCCAAGCTCTTATCCCGGCTCTCTCCTCTGGGGTGACAGCACCACCTACTGTGGTTATAATATGTTTCAGCGATAAAGCTGAAAACATTAAAACCAAAACAGATAATTAAGGGTTAGGAAGGTTAGGGTTAGGATTAATGGTTAGGGTTGGGGTTTGCTAAATAGTGCATTGTGATTATCCTGATCCACTTGATTTTAACAATTGTGGCTTAGCCCTTTAAAGTCAGATCCAGTCAGTCATGTTTTCAGCCTTTAATCTGAAAAATTTCTTTCCCTCAGATTTGAATGTGCTACCAGCCTCCTCTCTTTGTTCCATTTAACATGCCCATACTGTATATCTGTGAGGTAAGGTTGTGCTATATAGGCGAGGTGGAACATTGGAGGTAAATACAAAGAGGCAATTCAGCAAATCTGGAAAGGCAGCCATGAGTTTATGAGTTCCACTGTTCGGCAGTCGGGGTTAGGAGAAGGGGGTAACAGGTGCTGGATGAATAAGTGATGATGGTGCTGTCAAAGTGGAGAGGCTACAGAGACTCCTTGGGGTGTTCGAAAGCACAGCACCTCACCACTGGGGGCAGCCAGTGATAACCACTGGCCCTTAATATTGATGGGAAGCAGCTGCTGCTGTCTCAGATAACCACTCCGTAGCCAACTCTCTGTAGTAGGGGGTGACACAAGGGTGTTTAATTTTTCTGCCGTCCCAATTCCATGTCCCATCCTATTACCATGTTGTTGTGTTGTTGTGTTTCTTTAGTGGGGTAGTCTTTAGGCAATGTAATGATTTTGATTTGATGTTCTAGCCATCCTTTTCTTACTTACTACTTTGTGTCGTCAACCCACAGTCCACACACGTCATGCACTGTTCAGGTGGTTGCAACTAACAGAAGACAACGACTATTGTGTTCAAAATAGTATATAAATAATGTATAAAAACTGACTATTGGGATTATGATTCATGTAAAGTCCTATTGTTGATGATGATGAATATTGAAATTGACACTCATCCCAAAGGGATCCCACATGAATCTTGTGATATACAGGATTCCCCGCAAATGTCCTCTACTCTGTACCCTACACTTCCAGTGCAGCAGGCAGAGGACAGGAAAACACACATGGTTAGTGTGGGGCTCCGGCCCCTGGGATGACGACCACTGTTTACCTGGGCTATAAGTGTGAATCAGCATATTATGACAGTGTCTAATGTGTTGACATTGATATTTCTGCTGTAGTGCAGACATGCTGGGCAAATGCAGCAGCTTCTTCCCTGTTCCTCTGCTATTGACACAAACACTACATCATATAAACAAACAAACACCACTGATATTTTTCAGCTTCATTAATTAATCAAAAATTGTGTTTTTGCTTTTTTTGAATTTAAGCTAAAACTAAGCTAAATCAACCTTGTTTTGTCATCACATCTTTAACACATTGCTTAAACAACTTACCTTTCAAACATCAAAGAGTAGTGAAGAATTGAGTTTCTTAAACTATATGTGTATTAATGTAACACATAGACTTGGCTTGTGGTGCTCAAGGTGCCAGAAAAATACATTTGAAAAACTCAACAGCAATGTCTCCAGTGACCCAGTTACTCAACATAGTCCACAGACCTTTTTGTTAACTACAACAACGCCAACCATATCACTGTGCAGAAGGGAACTAGCAGTTTGCAGATATTAGTTAGAATATTATTGTTACTGCAAGCTCACATAGCACCATTAAGCTAACAAATGCATCAGCTCAGCTGATTATCTTCTATAACTGGGTCAGGATTTCTGGAAAGAAACACTGCTGTTGTGTGTTTCAAATTTATTTTTAAGTGTATCATCTGGAGTTATAGGCCGTAGAGCCAATACCTCCAAAACTCAGCCACTCACACCAAAACAATCTAGATGGATAAATAGCACTACAAACGGAAAAATCTGTTTTGATTTTGGGGTGAACTGTCCGTCCTAGTTATACTCAAGTGTATAAATGAGAAATGAGCTCTTACCATATCAGCAGTTAGCTTACAGCCTCCGGCTGCTCAGTTGTTTTTCTGTCCTTCTGCCGCTGTCTCCACACACTTTTTACTCTCCCCAGGCCCATGCATTCCTTAGGAACTCTCTAGACTTGCCACTCTCCATCCATCCACCAAATGCCCTCAGACTTTACCACTGGCCCAAGTCACCTGATTCCTATATTCACCTGCTCACCCGTTCTTCATTCCCAGTTACTATGGAGAGAATTCTGTTCCTTTATTATTCAATCAAATAGAATAGATTTGAAACCAAAAAAGAGATTTGAGAGCAAAAAAGAGTAAGTGGCAATCAAAAAAATTTTTTTGAGATCGAAACAGAACAGGTTGCAATTGAAAAAAAAATATGAGAGAACATATTTCTTCAACTTCAATCAAAACTAATGTTTGTAAGTAAAAACATACGACCAATTGCGTCCTCTTTGCTTGCAAGTTCTAAAGCTTTGCTTGTAAATTCAAAAGTTTTGCTTGCAAATTCAACTGCACTTGATGGTTCAGCGGTAGTTTAGTAATCCACGGTAGTACTGTTGTGTAGGAACCGTGACGTTTTGGCACCGCCAGTACCATGCAACACTAAATGTTTAAATCACAGCCCTACGTTGAATACGCCTCCCTGTAATTCACTCACTCATTAGGCTACTCTGCTCAGGCCATTACTAACACAGACAACCATGTTGCTGCTAATCAGTGTGCTAGCAGCAGCAGGGCATTATAATTCATTACTTGTGTTGTTGTTGTTGTTGTGGTGAACGTACGGCAGGCTGTAGCCAACGATATATAGCGCAATTCATTACTTATAGGAAACGTTTCAAGAGCAACAGACTACCTCCAAGCAGCACAGCACAGGGAGAAGTGGGTGTAATGCGAAAGACGTAGCCAGTCAAACCAACCAATAGAAACTCTTCTCTCGTCCACCAGCATAGACCCCGCCCATCAAGTGCAGTTGAATTTGCAAGCAAAACTTTTGAATTTGCAAACAAAACTTTAGAACTTGCAAGCAAAGAGGACGCAAAATGGTCGCATGTTTTTACTTACAAACATTAGTTTTGATTGAAGTTGAAGAAATATGTTCTCTCATATTTTTTTTTCAATTGCAACCTGTTCTGTTTCGATCTCAAAAAAATTTTTTTTGATTGCCACTTACTCTTTTTTGCTCTCAAATCTCTTTTTTGGTTTCAAATCTATTCTATTTGATTGAATAATAAAGGAACAGAATTCTCTCCATAAGTTACCCCCCTCAATGTTTATGCCAGCCCATCTCCACCTGCTCCTGGCCAGATTGGAAATGTTGCTTAATGCCTTTGCTTCCCAGCCTCTGTATCCTGAAACCTGAACCTGAATTGTTCCTGCCTGCCTGGTTGTCCTTGCCTTGTCCTTGGTTGCATTTGAGTCCTCTTTCTTGCTGCCTTGTGACAAACAAATGCTGCTGGGCATAATAACTACAAGAAGCACCTCAGAGGTCCTCAAGGTGCCAGTTGGCACAATGTGGTAAAAAAAAACCTAAATAAAAAGAAAAGTTGGAGTTGTTGAAATACATTTTTGCTTTTGGTGAAAGCTAGCAAATTCCCCTTCAGTCTTTGTGCTAAGCTAGGCTAAAATTATCCTGGACCAATCTCTATTCAACCTGCAGAAAACGATATCAATCCTCAGTTTACGTCCTGGGTAAGGTAACAGCTGTTATTCCCAAAATGTGACATTATTCCTTTGATCTACATACCTAGTGCATCTCTATGCAGTTCTATCTGCAGTACAGTTAGTCAGAGCTAGTGAGTACCACACCAAATACATATGTATGGTAGATTTGTGTGTTATGTAAATTAAATCTGAATTGCATCACAATTAATCCTGAACCCAGAGTAACACAGTGATAATCAGGTCTGGCAATTAAAAAAGTTTGTTATTTTGCAGAGTGCTTT